AAGAAGAAGAAGAAGAAGAAGAAGAAGAAGAAGAAGAAGAAAGAAGGAAGAAAGAAGAGGAGGAAGAGGAGGAAGAAGAGGAAGAAGAAGAAGAAAAGTTCCATTTGAGCCCTAGAAATCAGACTTGGGACACTGGGAATTGAATCCATCTTTTTCCAAAGATTAAGAAAACCCATACTGTCAGATTTGGTGGTGCAGATCTATGATCCCTGCCCTCAAGAGGCTAAAGCAAGAGAATCACTGTGAGGCCACTGGTCTATAAAGTAAGACCCTGTCTCAAAAAGAGCAAGGACAATCCCAGGGAGAGCCGGGCTGGCCCCAACCCCTGGGCACACTGAGACAGCAATTGAGACTGGGCGTGGTGGCTCATGCCTGTAATCCCAGCTCTTGAGAGGCTATGAACAGGTGAATCACTAAGTCCAATCTAGTAGTGAGACCATGAACACCCTGTAGATCCTTCCCTAAAACTATAAAAAAGCAAACAAACAAAAAACAGCAATAGTGCCAAAAAAAAAAGCCTCCTAAGAACATCCCAGGAAGATCAGAATGGATGTTCACTGGGGGGCAGGAGTAGAGTATGCCCCAGGTAACATTCCCCATCCCATGCCCTAAATCTCAGGCAATAAAAACAAATCCACAAATTTCAGTTTTAACAAAAAAGGGTAATAGTAACAGAAATCGTGAAATAAATATTTCTCTTTTAATAGATAGAACACTACATAGGCGTGGTGATACATGCTTGTAATCCCTGCACTAGGGAGGCTGAAGCAGGAGGGTAAACTACACAGTGAAACCCTGTCTCAAAAATAAAAGACAAAACACCTATCGTATAACATGCTTGTTTTGTGAATGTAAGACTTTATAGTGATGGATGTGTTATTTTAACAGTGCATATGGAGGGCCAACAAGATAGATCAGTGGACTAAAGAGCCTGCTTATGCAGGCTCAGGGACTGGGGTTCATTCCTGTGTGCCATGCTAGCCACACCGCCAGGCCTTGCCGAGATGGAGATCCATATGTGAGACTGGGTGTGGTGGTATGCACATGTAATCCCATTGCTTGGGAGGCTGAAAACAAGAGGATCACTACACAAGTCAGATGTTTGCAGTGAAACCCTATACTAAATACAGTTTAAAAAAAAAAAGTATGGGGTACAACCGGCTCGGACCCCCTCCTGTCCCTCTCTTGGATGGTACCTTTCTTTCCCTCAATAAATATATTTTTAAAAAATACATACAGTTTGGAGGTGGTGCACACCTGTATTAAAAAAAAAAAAAAAAAGTATCTGGCCAGGGAAATGGCTCAGTGGAATAAGCGCTTCTCTGGCAAGTGCAAGGGCCTGAGTTCAATCCCCGGTCCCACAAAAAAATAAATAAATAAATAAATAA